TATATATATATATATATATATATATATATATATATATATATATATATGAGAAGAACAACTGTGGAAAAATATCAATGCAGACATGTTCCCGTTTTTAGTATTTACCTTGTTTTATAATGTATCTTGATTTTTTTTTATAACACTACTTTTATTTACTTTTTATTTTATATGCATTTTATGGCTGTTTATTGTTGTCTGTTCCTTACTGGTGGTTTGTCTAAAACAGATCTCTCTTGAAAATGAGTCCTTGTGACTCACTGAGACTAACCTTAGCTGGTATTTTTTATATTCTCTGTTATTTATTGATGCTATTTTTTAATTCTCTGTTGTTGTTGTTGGGTTTTTTTTTTTTTTTGTCTTATGAGATTCCTTGTTCCTTTGTATTGAAACTCTGGCATAACAATTTCCTGTGGGGATCAATAAAGTTTTATCTTATCTTATCTTACCTTTTATCTTAACCTGTATAAATAAAGATTGAAAGAAAAAAAAAATTTGGAAAAGTACTGGAGTAAAATCGTTCAAACTGCACCATTTAATATAGCCAGATAACCTTTTTATGTTTGATTTCATACATTGCAATGAGTACCTTTAACTGTGGCTGTTCTTCATTTGCTTTCGGGTCTAACAAGAACATGTCTTTATTTTGAAAGTTCAAACCGGATGTCGGATCTTGGGAAAGATTGGGATCTTGACAGCATTGGAGACGAGATTGTTCAACTGTGAAGCGGCGGAGCCTCCAGAGCGCAGAGGACACGCAGGACTCCAAAGCCCCTGAATGAGGGAGTCAGACGTCCGGGAATGACAGCCGCCGTCTCCGGGAGGGGCGCGTCTTACTCCGAGCGCCTCCGATAAATAAATCAAAACCAACAAAACTGCTCCGGCTGACAGCTCAGTCACAGATCCGGCTCGGATCCAGTCACACCGGGACTATCATGCCAGAGATGGAGAAAGGCAGACCCCCGGAAAACAAACGCAGCAGGAAACCAGCGCACCCCGTGAAGAGGGAGATCAACCAGGAGATGAAGGTTTGTGCGCAACGATGGTCCAAAGTTCTTTTACGCACGCAGCGTCTTCCCGCACAGCGCGTCAGCTGTGCGCAAATCAGTGCAGGGGACAATCAAGTCACAGCAAAAAAGATTAGTCTTTTGTCAAATTGTTGCATGATGGGTTGTAAAGTCGTTTTTACTCTTTTTTAATTGAAAGCAATAATTGATTAATAATAATAAAATAATAATAATAAACATTGAGCAATGTTGGACGTTTTGACTATATATCACAATTTAAACTTAGAATAAAAAGTTGACATTTGCTTGTAAGTGACGCCATGTCAGGCCAGCTGTGGCCAGACACGCACTCTGTATTGTCCAGAGGAGCTCCAGATGTGCGTCACTTCTTCCTCGCTCCCTGCGGTGCACTCAGTTTCTGCACTTTAGGGACTCATTAGAAAAGAAAAGAAAAAAAAGTGGGGGGGGGGGGGCATTTATATTCTTTAAATAGCCTCCTTCAGATTTACGCTGCATGGGAAAACTATAATTCTAAAGAATGCAAACATGACATCGAAGGCGAGCTCCTTGCTGATGGATGGTAAGCACCCACGGAGAGCGGTGAGAATCTTTCATCTGCTCCTCATGTTAACAGGCAGCATCTGCACAAAGCTGTAATACGTGAAATCGCAGTAACAGGCACGATTCCCTCCCTCCATTATGAGCCCATTGCATGGAAAGTAATCCACGGATTGTCTGCTTTGTTTGGGTTTTGGCTATTCGAGATGCTTGACTCTTGAGGTGAAGGATATTCGAGGACCCTTCAAGCTGAAGCAGAGAAATCTAAAAGGACACGTTTTTAATTTGGGGAAGGAACTGTGCTGTGTGACTGGTTCGGGACTGTGGCGCTTGATATCCAGAGGAGGTGTAATGTTACATCTTAACTAATTTTAATCAAAACACGTGAAACACTATCCTCCCCGCCGCCTAATGTAAGCCCGCCTGAGCTGAGTCTCAGGGTCGGCCTCAGTTTGTTGCCTTTGGCTGCGACTCTCTCCGTGGTTTGGGATATGGCTTGTCACTCTCACAAAGCAGATGTTTGTCCAAACTGCCAAAAAGAAACAAAAACAACATTGTGGGAAATGAAGGAGGGGGAGGAAAATAGTTAAAAACAGGAAAGTGACACTGGTCTATACAGGAGAGCGCCCATCTGGAGAACACCACAAGAGCAAACAGTGAGAGAAATCCAGGCCGTGAAACTGATTTCTAGTTCAGCTAAGGTCTGCCTCAGTGTTGTCTCTGTAATACATCTGTTTCAACACCACATTCGGACCCACTCCCTCCACGTCAGACCCTGAGCGCAGCACCAGACACCGGATACTTAACTTTAATCATCGTTAGGCATATTTAGCTGGATATGATACCACTGCTTGCACTCACCCACGCACTCTTCCAGACACACACACACTCACACACAGCAAAAAGTGAGCAAGCAAAGGGAGAGATCCGTTTCTATGAGGCCCCGGCGCAGAGCAGAGGTCGGCGTGAGGAAAGAATGTGCAGTCAGTATACTACGGTACTACAACACCACAGCAGACTGGCTGTGCTGGAAAAGGGTGAAACCTGAGAGGTAGCTCTGGGTCGGGTGTCAGGCCTGGAAGGTGCTGGGATGAAGGAGAAGCTAGGAGGGGGAAAAAAAGTCAGAATGAGAGACAGTGAAAACAGGAGAAAGGGAAAGGAGTGGTGGACATTAGAAAACGAGTAGAGAGGAGAGAAGAAGGCCATGTCCAAGAACCGTGGGACCTCGCTGTGGTGTAGAGTGTCCCGCTCTGATTTCTGCCCGTTTTGGATCAGGTTTCTCCTCCAATCTGGATCTGCCAAAACCACAAAGAGAGGTGGGTGGATGAAGAGAGAAACCTTTGTATATATATATATTTTTTTTTAATCTGGTCAAAATATTAAAAAAAATGAAATCACACGTCCCACTTTTTTTGTTGCAGAACGGCTTCCTTTTCTCCCTCTTTTTTTCCCCCCAATTAGAAAAGATAAACAAAGAATGATTCATAGATTTCACACTGGTGTTAGGTTTTAAACCTTTCTGTCTCAGATTAACCAAGAGTAAACAACTTGAATACATCATGGAAAAAGAGTCATACTGTACTCCACTGTGCCGTTATTCATTTCCTCCAGGCTCAAAAAGAATCCCTCACTTTGATTCAGAGTGGGGACGTCTGATGATGTTTACCACAGGATGAAAACGTCCAATAACAAACCTAAGAATACATGTTTTCATTTCTGTCCCTTTCTTTCTATTTTTATTTTTTTCTAGACGTTTGCAGAAAGCACCATGAACGAGCTCCTGGGATGGTACGGCTACGACAAGGTTGACCTCCGAGAGTCGGAGGCCAATGAGATTCGAAACTACAGAGAGCGGCGTCAGCATGTGTCTGTGCTGAAAGGTGAGGGCAGGTGTCGGCAGGTCACTATTAGTGCAGTATCACACTAACCAACAGGTTCTGCAGGTTTCAAGGCAGACACTGGGTCACAGAACATCACATCTGCTCAACATAATCTCCCGTGGTGGCAAGTCCTCGAGTTACATTCATTCAGATGCATCTGTTGTTTGTACAGACGTTATTCTGGTGCCCCGTGAGGCGCACGGTGGTTTCATGTTGCTGTATTGGATGACGGAGCCGAGTTTATCGTTGCATTTTGGTTGTGTCTTTCAGAAAACTCGTTGCCAAAACCCAAAAGCTTGGACACCAAAGTCGGTCATTCTGTCCTGGCCATGAAGAGTGGAGAAAGGGAATCCTCCAGTGTCCCATCCTCTTCACCCTCTTCTTCCTCAACAAGTTCCTCCCTGACCTCCCCCAAGGAGCACAAGAGTGCCCCCGTCATTGTCCCCCTCATAAAGCCATCAGCAGGTATGGAAGCAGCACTTGTAGGAATAATTACACGTTACAATAAATCTAGCATCCTCTTAAGGAATACATATCACCCTCCACCTTTCATGATGGAGTTTAGAACTAAAGTTGTTAAAGGACAGAGTTACAGTCATTTTGGTCTCGCAATTGTTTTTATTTAAATCTTTATTTTACCAGGAAAGAAATCCATTCAGATTATTAATCTTTTTTGCAAGCATGTCCTGGGGGGTACTTTGGGAGTCTGGGGTACCGGGCCCTTTGATACGGGCTGTTAGGTCCCTGAATGACCGGTGTCAGAGCCTGGTCCGCATCGTCGGCAGTAAGTCAGGCTTGTTCATGGTGAAAGTTGGACTCCGCCAAGGTTGCCCTTTGTCACCAATTCTGTTCATAACTTTTATGGACAGAATTTCTAGGCGCAGCCAAGGTGTTGAGGGGATCCGTTTTGGTGGCCTTAGGATTGCATCTCTGCTTTTTGCAGATGATGTGGTCTTATTGGCTTCATCAGATCATGATCTATAGCTTTCACTGGAGCGGTTCGCAGCCGAGTGCGACACGGCCGGGATGAAGATCAGTTCCTCCAAATCCGAGGCCATGGTCTTGAGCCGGAAAAGGGTAGAGTGCCCTCTCCGGTCAGGGAGGAGGTCCTGCCCCAAGTGGAGGAGTTCAAGTATCTTGGGGTCTTGTTCATGAATGAGGGAAAAATGGAACGTGAGATCGACAGGCGGATAGGTGCAGCGTCTGCAGTGAAGCAGGTGCTGTACAGGTCTGTCATGGTGAAGAGAGAGCTGAGTCAAAAGGCGAGGCTCTCAATTTACCGATCTATCTACGTTCCCACCCTCATCTATGGTCATGAGCTTTGGGTTGTGACCGAAAGAACGAGATCTCGGATACAAGTGGCCGAAATGAGATGTCTCCGCAGGGTGTCTGGGCTCTCCCTTAGAGATAGGGTGAGAAGCTCAATCATCTGGGAGGGACTCAGAGTAGAGCCGCTGCTTCTCCATGTCAAGAGGAGCCAGTTGAGATGGCTTGAGCATCTGGTTAGGATGCCTCCTGGACGCCTCCCTGGTGAGGTGTTCTGGACATGGCTAAGGTTAGTTGGTTGTGGCGGCCATCTTCAATTGTTATTTTAAAGAGTTAATCAGTTCTAATCATCTGATGATTAATGACTAGAAGAAAGCTACTTATCCAGTCATTACTTTGTGAGTGTTTCATTAATGTTTATCCACTGATTCATGAGATATTTTGCCATTAAACAGATGTAGCTGACTCCACTAGTTATCTCTCTTGATCATTTAGTGCTCAGAGTATGGGGTGAGGGATGACAATCATCATCATGTCATGTACCTCAACAAAATTTTATCTCTAGTGAGCATCTTAAATAGGGTTAACTTCAAAAGTTAATCAGTTGTAAATGCATTCAGTGATTACATTATGAGAGCTTCAATCAAATCTGACCAGTAGTTTGTGAGATATTTTGCTAAATCTACTTGCAAACAAACACACCCACATGCGGACATACGCAAAATCATTATCGCCACTTCTCCTTTGGCAGTGGGTGATAAATGTGCCTTTGGTTTACAGCATTTCATTTCTTCTGATGCCCACAAGAACTGATAACCCACTGCTATTTGCTCAGAGGTCTGCTGCAGATGATGGAACCGGGATTGGTTTCAGCTGTTTCCTTAAAGAGTTCTTGAGCAGTAATTGAGGTCGTGAAGAAAGTGAGAAGCTGCTGCAATAACATGACATGTGCCTGTTGTGCAGTTGAATGATGGCAATCGTTTAGTGTGGTGTTTTTTTTGCGAAGTATTTTATGAAATATAGCCTAAATGCTTCAAAGGAACATATCTGGAGTTATAGTTTACCACCCTTTTATTACACTTTGATATTTATTAACTTGCAAAATAGTTGCCATAATGATGCAAACCACTACAGACAAAAAAAAAAAAAAATCAGATCAGAGAAACTGAGCAAAAGTAACTTTGTTGCTGCTTTGTATTCTTCACTTTAAAATCGCAGTGAATTGAATGTGAAAAACGTGTCTCAGAGCTGATAGTACTCAGCCTACATGGATGTAACAGGCCAGACATAAAGCTAACAAGGTCACATTAAGTCATTATTTGATTTCACTGTGTTAGATAATTAAAATAAAACTGAATTCATCTCCCCACACGCTTCCTTAATGCAACATAAATGCATAAAGCTGACGATAAGGCTCTCCACAGATGAAACCGGATCTCTGAACTCCCTTTGAAAGTATAAGCCTCAGACTGCTTTAATTATTTTTTTGATATGGAAAGTTTGGCGCCGGTTCAGCTCTAAGCAAAGGATTTTTTAACACACTTGAGTTTTCTTGTTGACTCGTGTTTATTGAGCCCTGATGAAGTACCAGTAAATAGATTTACAGTATCTGTCCAGTGCCAGTCTCATTAACAATAAATCATTCAAATCCAAGAGAGATGGATTCTACTCCGATACTGAAAACTATATCATCTGCAAATTGCATTCGTTTACTGAAATGCTTTCTTTTACTTTGTTTTGTCCTCTCTGCAGTGGAAGATGTGCAGAATGTGCAGATAGTTTGTGTTTGGTGCCAGAAAGAAGGTGTAAAACGTTATTCCCTCTGTATGGGCTCAGAGCTCAAGAGCTTCTGCAGCGAGAAGTGCTTTGCCGCATGCAGACGAGCCTATTTCAAACGCAACAAGGTGAGTGAGATTAGTGGCTGCACACAAAGAAATATGTCTTCTGCCTCAATCATGAGACCTTGGAAAATCCTGATTTTACGTGACTTGATAATCCAAAAAACAAAACAACTGGACTTCTATTCTGGAGTTGAAGACATTTTGCTTCCTGTCTATGGAGACTTCTCAGGGTGCATTCACACCAGCCCTGTTTAGCCCGCTTTAATCGAACTCTAGTCCGTTTGCCTAGAAAGTCCGGTTCGTTTGGGGAGGTGTGAACGCACAATCGAACTCTGGTGTGGACCAAAGAAGCGAACTCTGGTCCGCCTAAAAACCTACGTCTCGGTTCGGTTGAAGTGAACTCTAGCGCGGTTCTAATGCATTGTGAATGCAAGCGGACTGGAGACCGCTCCAAAAGCAGGAAGTGGACTACAGCTCAGGGCATTCTGGGTAAATACAACCGAAACAAACATGCATTTCCCATACCTCATACGGAGCCGTCTTAGCCGGCTTGTGTGAAAAACAACATTCTCCATGATCTTCTGCCTCATCTTCCGCTCATGTTGAGTCCATTGTTGAAAAATGTTTGTTTGGCACATGAGCCACAGACAAAACAGAAATCCTAAAACCGATCAAGTTTGATGCCACTCCATTTTTGTTTTTATTTCCAGAAGACAACAAAAAAGGTTAAGTGTCTTCTTCAGAGGTTTTTGTGTTGTTTCCTTCAGTAGTTCTTGGTGCAGCGCCACCACAGGAGAGAGTGTGTGTGTGTGTGTGTGTGGGGGGGGGGGGGGGACACGTTGGCTCAATTGACAGTGCAGTGTGAATGTGAACCGCACCAGCTGAAAATGTAAACAAATGTTCCGAATTTTGGTCCCCATTCGAACCGAATCTACTGGACAATCAGGTGTGAAAACGACCTCAGTTGTGTGCTGTTCCAAGCTTTGGAACTGAATGACTGAGAATCTGCACGTGCACACATGATGAAATAGTGCAGTAGTTAGTCACAACTTCTTAAATATAATTTATGCACAGACTGTACCAGCAGCAGCGTCACTACAAACAGTGACGCAAAGCATCAAGAGATTGCTGTCAGATACAGAACTGTCAGAAACAGATCCTTCTGATCATGTGCGGTCATAAGTGATGGATTAATTTTCACAAAATTTAAAAGAAAAATAGGGATCTCAATTGACACAGTAGGTGGTATAGAGGAGCTCTTTATAGAAGTGCAGTTTGGTCGTGGTGGCAGGGAGGTCAAACTTTATGCAGGACACTTGGTATCAGTTTCAAGTTAATGCAGAAGGGGTCAGCCATTAAGTGGCTTTGGTCTGTGGGACAGGAAAGCTGCAACTTCAGAGGAATGCACTGCTGAACATGACCGCAATTTTTCACCATCCCATTATGACTTTACCACCTTTACAGAAAAGCTGTCGTGTGGTCTTTCACCATGCGGCACAGTGGTGCAGTGACAGAGTTGTCACATCACAATGAAAGTTCACAATGAAATGCACGCATGGGTTTTCTGTAGGTACTGTTCCCTCCCACAGACCAAAAACAAGTATGTTTGGTTCATGTGCAGCTCTGAAATGACCCTAGGTGTGAGTGGGAGTGTGAATAGTTGTTTGTCTTGTTGATGAACTTGTGACCTGTCCAGGCTGTACCCCTCGTCTCGCACAGTGACTGGGAATGACAAAGCAAGTAAAGAACCTTAATGGATGGATGGATGTATAGTCTTTCACCCTCAGTACTGTTTATACTTTCGTAGGGTTATTAGCAGAAGGACAGAGCAGACAGTGCATAACAAACCCTCTGGTTTTTTTTAAAGGTGGGGAGAAAAGCGTTTCTGTTGGCTTGTTTCTGCTTGTCTGAGAGGTAGGCCAAGAGGCCTGGGGCGAGGTGTCCACTTTCAGTGCATACCTTACCCTCAGCTGCCTCATGTTTCGTAACCCAACACGACTAGTTGGGTCACAGAGATGGAGGTGCACTCAAATACACGGCAGCTCACCTTACACAAATCAGAAGGAATTTCCTCATATTAATATTGTTAGAAGCGCAATGGTTGTAGAGTAATATCTTTTACTAAACACAAAAGTTCTCTTGTTTTATTGACCTTAAATAAGGGTTGTGGTAACACATAAAGTTGAAGCTACTTCATGACAAGGCAACTCAAACATAAGAAGCTCAAATTTGGTTTTATGACCGCACAATGATTCAAGTGTATCATTTGAGGATATGCTGCCTGTCAGTGGTGTGTCTTGTTTGTCATGCTGTGGTTTGCCCTTGTCAGGCCAGAGATGAAGACCTCCACTCTGAGAGATCCCCTCAGCACCCACATCCAGAGGATTCGCCCAGACTGGTGTTAAAGATAAACACCAATGTCAGAGTAAGAAGATATCATCACATTTTGTCTTCCATAAGAAATTGTTGACACATGCATGCTGTGACATTATAAGGTTTTAACATGCTAAACAATATTTTTAAAAGTCTGCTTTTCTTCTGTTGTTGTATATTTGTAAAGATGTTTGTATATCAAGAGTCTGATACTTCATTGACCCCCCACAGTCTCTCTCACCTGTGCCACAGGTATGTGACTGGTGCAAGCATGTTCGTCACACTAAGGAATACCTAGACTTCGGAGCTGGGGAGGAACGACTTCAGTTCTGCAGCATCAAATGTCTCAACCAGTACAAGATGGATGTATTTTATCGGGAAGCACGTGCAGCTCTCACCAGCACCAGTTCCAGCCCCAATAGAGCCAGCCAAGATGGGAGGGTGGATGGGCAAAAGCTACTCACTCCTGAGTCTTGGAACAACAGCAACCATTCAGGGGAAGCACGCACCCGAAATGTCTCACCTAAAGGGTCAACGCTAATTCATGGGCCTGTAGAAGCCACATCTGTCTCATCTTCAGAAGCATCCTCCTCATCATCATCATCTTCTTCTTCTTCAAAAGTTTCTGTCTCAGGGCTTAGAACCCTGGAGAGATCAATCCATCCACCTCCACTACCACCTACAGTGGCAGTGTCGCCTCATTCTGCTTCCCTTCCTCCTCCACTACTTCCTCGCCCACCTTTGGATCAAAAGCCAATACCTCAAATTCCCATACCCTTCATCAGGCCCCCTCTTCACGCACAGGGCCTAAAAAGCCCCCTTATCAATCCTCCCAGATATTCAGGTGCCCCTTCCAGCCCTATCCACAGACCCCCACATTCTCCTCACCTGCAACCCTCCACCTCCACTTCCATAAACCCCCCTGGGCTCATGCATCCTTTCCCAGGAGCTTATTTCCCTGGCTTACACTCCCCACCTATGAACATGATGCCAAGAGGCCCTGTCCCAATGCCTCCCATCATGAATTTTGGGATTCCTTCTTTTAGTCCTCTTCTGCCCCAACCGACTGTCCTGGTACCTTATCCCATTATTGTTCCCTTACCTGTCCCCATACCCATTCCAATTCCCATTCCAGTTCCTCCCAAAGTGGCCCTTGAAACTTCAAGTCATAGTGGAGTTATCCAGCCAGTGCCAGAAGGGGTAGAGAGGTGTAGATCCAGGACTAATAAATCATTGTCTCCAGAGACCTCTGAAGAAGAGAGAAACATACTGGGTGAGTCTAGCCCAAGGGACATAGGTTGGGTTAAATCAGAAAGACAGTTTCTGTCCCCATCATCCTCATCTCAAAGTAAAATGCCCTCCCCAGGAGCACAATACAGTGAATCATTATGCCCAGCCTTAGGTTCAGAGGGGCTGACAGACTATAAGCAACAAAAGTCAGAACGACAAGTGATCCAGAGGGTTCTCCAAAGAACCCAAGTGAAGCTTGAACCCAGTGCGAATGGAATGGGGGACCCATCAGTGCCAATGGAGTCTGGATCTGGGCAAGTTAACAGATCAGGTCTTCACAATATCATCAGACCAACCCCTCCACTAGCAATATCACCTTCACATGACACTGTCTACCAAAAACAGGACTTGTACACTCCTCCCACCCCACCCAGCCCATCAGAGAGCAGCCATTCACATGACACCAATTCCTCTGCCCTGACTGCTCAGAACTATCCTCAAAATGGTATGCCTGCTGGTATAGACTCTTCCTTACCCCATAAATTGCCAGCTCCATGCCTGGACTCTACACTCAGTGAGCTGGAGGCTATCAAAGAGAATAATTGCTCTGCTGTTAGCCCTGGGCGAATCGAAGGTCCTCTCAATCAGGCAGAAGGACTTTTAACAGTAGGTGGAGATGTCGAAGAGGACCCCCACGTTCCAGATGAGGACCACGCTTATGCCCTGCCCACAGCACCAAAGACAGGTGGGACCACACCCCCGCTACTCTTGCCAAAACTCAGGGACAAAGGTAGCTTGCGGAATCCTGCTAACTTAGCCACTGGGGGAGACATGGAGCCATCTCTGAAGAGACGATGCTTACGGATCCGAGATCAGAATAAATAGAAATCAGAGGTGAGGAATTTTGTAAATATGTGCTGAAATATGACTTTTATTAGCCCAACTGTCTTATATCGGGTTAAATTGTTTGGTAAATGTCAGCGGAGATCAAGCTGACTACAACTGTGAAAGAACTTGTAATGTTCTGATATTCTGCTTTGGCTAAATTAAACTGTAAATTTTAAATTTAAAACGAAGTGGAGGGTGGAAAATATGCACACAGACAAATTCACACTCACACATAGGGCAAGATTAATCACTGTATGTGCTCGGTCACTAAATAGCATGGCGCCAAGTGGAGAGAATCCCGGTAACCTGGCACTTCTTGGTCCTCTAAAGTTACAGCAGGAAAAGGAGGCGGAGGGCACAAGCAGCGAGAGTCACTTTGAAAGGCGATCACCACCACAACCTGACAGTCACAATGCTTTGTTGGCTTCGCTGCCTGTTAGCTTAAGCTCAGATTTGCCAAGGTGTATGATGCTTTGGAAAAAGATGGCTGCTGACCTTCAGATATTTCAACAATCTGTTCAAAACAACACCCCAAGTGGCTGATCAAGTCTTTCTTTTAGAACTATGAGGCAACGCAGATGTCTTTCTAAGACGATTGTCAGGCAGACTGAGAGGCGCTGAGTATCTAAGAGGCAGTCCTGAGTTGTGATTGAGCTCTAGGGCTTTGTTAGAAAACACGAGGCCCGAATCAGAGCGATCCAGTTTCACGTGTCATAGCGACACCCGGTTCTGGATTTGCTTCATCTTTCTCCACGTCTAAGTTTCCACTTTCCCTCTCCCTTTTTCAGCCTTTTTTTTTTTTCTTTTCTTCACTCATCACTGCCTCATGCTGCCAAACAAAACTTGTTGTTCAAATGCAGCTGGAGAGCCTCCTTACTTTGGACCAATCAAAGGCCCTCTTGATTCCTCTCGCCTGTTTGTCCAAATAGCTGTAACACCAGCCGTCATCCTCACCCACTGGTATCTCACCATAACAAGATCGTGTTTCTGTTTTACTGTATGTGCTGAGATTAATCCGCTGATATTACAGAGGCGTTTTGTATTTCAATCCGCCTGCTTTTCTCCCTATATTCCCCTCCAAAGGCCAGAGGTCATATTAATAATTGTGTTTGGATGTGGCAGCTGTTGATAAAGACGAAACAGCACAAATCTTTGTCTCGTATACCCCAGGTGTTTGATTACCTGAGTGCAACAAGATTGATTTCAGTTCCCGCTTTTATTTTTTGTCATTTTTTATGCCTTTTTTTTTTTTTTGTATTACAACTAATGCATATACAATCTTAGTACTTAATACTCACTTCTTCTTTTTTTAACAAAATCTCCCACTCTGTCAGAGCCAGCAGCCAACTGATGGATTTCACCTCAGGAAAAAAAAGAAGTTTTTTTCGTCTCATTTTCCCCTGCCTTTATTTGGGATATTTTATAGCTCCATGTAACCTGATTCCACCACATGGGTATTCGCTGAGCGTTTGAAACTGAAACGCAATGGGACAGAGGGAATACAGAACTCTGGTTTGGCCCTTACGTGTGTGTGTGTTTGCGTTTAAGATGTGTGCTTGAATGGAAGTCTGTGTAAAGTGTGCACGAGAGAAAAGAGGCCAGATGTTTTTAGTTTGATTGCACCCTTTGCAACGGTTATCTGAGTGTTGACATGACTAAAAGCCTCATTCTGAGTGTTTATGTGGAATGGGTGGATTAGGGAATGAGTGTCCAGAGCAGGAGAGGTTGACATAAGATACGTTAGGGATGAATATTGCACGGAATCGGTTTAGAATTGCCAAAATCTCACCGTTGTTTTTCTTCTCCTCTTTCTGTTTCTATATCCACCAAATGAACAGACTCCCTGTTTAACGTTGTGGGGGCAGTTCCAGATTCAGTGCCACGCCGTCTTGTGGACAACACTAGTGTGAACACCCTCCTGTAGACCAGCAGGGTGCCAAACCCAGGGAGCTGACCAGATGGCCCAGTCATCGCGAGTCAACAGCGCGGAAGAACGCAACGCAGTCGCACAGTTTGCTTTGGACCAAAAATAAATATATTTCACCGGCTTAGTGGGCGTTTGAAAGAGAGTCACTCAGATCCTCATTCTGTCTAACATTGCCCTCAAGCGTTTATGTGTGTCCAAGTTACTGTGGCTGCCCAGATGCGCTCCTCCTCCTCCACCTCTGCCTGCTCCATGCAGTAGACAGCACTCTGATCAGCCTTGTGTGGTCTTCTCAGATGGAGCCTGAACATGATCTCTTTCCAGGGGAAACGGTTTATTTTCTCTGCCCGGCTTTTGCACAAAGAGCCACATTGTTCCTCTCCTCATATCCCACACTGACTCCCCACTCCAGGTTTTGGGTTACCTGGCCGATCGGAGCTCAAAATTCACAATTTTCTTTTTTTTTTTTTTTTTTGAGCAACAGCCAGGAATATAGTATAGCCTGTTCTCCTCCGCCTGTCCGCCCAATATAAATAAAGTTTACGCTACACACACTGGTTCTAAGATTTTATCCTTATAAGTAATCGCCTGAGATTTGCCAGTCGGATTACTGCTTTCAAAGAAGAAAAGAAAACAAGTTTCTCTCTGTGTTTATAGAGTAAAAAATTAAAGCTACTCATTGCAAAGTATCAAATCTTACAAAAAAAAAACATGTTATCCTGAACTATATCAAATGAAGCAGTTTGAAAGAGTTTATTGCAGTTGTTTTTCAAAAATGTTAATATACAAATCTAAATGCGGGTCTGCACTAAATGTACACAAAGCCATTTTTTGGCAGCAGAATTTACCAAAAACCCCGTAGACGCTCGAGTCCAGTTGTTGACCAACATTAGGCTGGCTTTAGTCTGTGTAGTTAAACAAATAGGTAAGTTTACCATTTGACCTATTTTCAGTCATTTTGGCTCTTTAAGGTAAACACTAGTAGTTGGCATCTGATCTCAAACTTTGTTTACAAATGTTTTATTTAAGGACACAGTAACCACTGATATGAGAAGAAATAGTGTGGATTTGTTTTTCTTTTCATCAGTTTTCACAAATTTGCAATGAGTATCTTTAAACTACACAAACTATGTTACCTTCAGATTCACATCGGTCAACGTCAGGGGTTCCCAACAGTGGTCCTTGAGGAACACCATCCTGCATGTTTTAGTTATTTCTCTGCTCCGACACACCTGATTTTAATAAATGGATGATTTACGGGCTTCCGTAGAACATGGTGATGTAATTAAATCACTGAATCAGGTGTGTTGGAGCAGGGAAACAAGCAGGATGGTGTTCCTCAAGGACCTGTGTTGGGAACCACCGGTATGAGCTCACTGTGACTGCAGACTGCTTTGATGATCAGAAAGTCTGAATGACCTGTTGCACTGAGTGCCATGCGTGTGTAAAACCTTGTTCAAACATGATGGTGTAACGGATTCAGATTTATTAGCTAAATGTTTTCATCTCTGCTCTCACATTTCTGAAAGGGAGATCAGATGTTTAATATTACCAGATGTGGTATTATACATAAAAGGCATCAAATGCTGGAGTATACAGTGATCAGTATTACGTTTGCCACTGTTGGGGGAACTTTAAGATCACTTTGAGGCTCGTCAACGCTTGTCCCATTTTTTCAGATATTATGTTATATTAACTTATGATTGATGCAAATGTAAATTTTCACAAAAAGCGCATTATAACTTTTTTGTATTGCTTCTTTTTTTTTTTTTTTCTTTTATGATCATAATTTCTAATGAAATGCTTTGATTTTATGTTTGCCCACGTGAGGGCAGTGTTTGCCTGTGTTACTTTGCACCTGCCCTGAAATTCATCTCACTGGACACAACAATGCACCCAGTGCCATTTCACTGACATCCAGTGCTAAACTGGGCAGCCTATCCTTTTTATATTTTAATTTGTTTTATCTTTGAATCCAAATACTGCCATCAACAGCCCTTGAGGTTTCTTTGAAACAGACTTTGTGACCTGCTGTCCCTGCCATCATTCCAAAGCCAACCCTCATTTGCCTGTGTCCTCCTGCACGTGCATTTCAAATTTCACTCTCTCCCCACTCATTCCAGTTCTCATCCTCATCACAGGGTCATGCCATTAAGACAGCGTCATCCTCAGCCGGAAAGAGGACTCTGTCAATAGCTTGTGTGAGTCAATGACATAATTTCAAACAAATAGATGCTTCTTCAGTCTAATGCCAAAAAGTAAATCATTAGCACTGCCATTGCTGGGTTGATTTCTTTATTTTATCTTTTTTTTTTAATCTGTTTTCAAATCTCACTAAAGTTTTGGCAATAAAACTTATGTTTTGTTGCTGTTGTAGCCTACAATTGTAAAGAAGCTGTCTGGCCTCCCCCTTGATCACACATTTAACCTTCTATCTCAAATGAACACGTCAGACTGTTTGTATTAAATAAATATTAAGTAACCAAGAAATTTGGTTGAGATCACTTTGTAAAGTAAAATAAATAAAAGTTATTCTAAGAGCAAGAAGTGTCAGGTGCATTTATTTCCCCTCTGATTTAAATCTTTTTTTTTTTTTTTTTTAATTCTCCTTTTTATTGTTAGAAACTATTTATTACTTTGCAGTGCAAAGTCCTCTTCAATATGGATTCAGAATTGACAAGCTGACTCACCGTGGACCCTGTAAAGGTTTATTTTTAGTGGCAGCATGTCTGAAAGGCAGAGCTTCCACATTCCTAAAATGCTGAAAGTTGCTCCGGCCTGTGTGAGCAGTGACGCTAAAAGCAACGAATGAGATAAGAGGGCAGGAATTCCGGTTTGGCAGTCTGGGGGTAGTGATTTGGAAATTGTTTTGGGGTTTTTGTTTGTTTGTTTGTTTTTATTTAAAGATACAAAATATGTCCGCCTAAATCAGATTCCAGGATTAAATAATCACGATCAAATCTACAAGAAGGTTTAAAGTTTTCAGAGACCATGTGCAGGGACTGGTTTCTAGTAAAGCGCTTAGAATAAGGCTAGTCACAACCGGATGTTAGAATGTCTGTCAAAATAAAAGCATTAACTCTTTTTTTTGTTCATGTGCCATAACTTTGTAAACTTTCAGTGCAACACCACATGAAAACAAACTTCTATCACTCTTCCCACAGGGTTTAGTTAAATATTATTTTTTTTAATAATGTTTATCTAATCATCCCAACCTCATTCTGCAAGTGATCCAAGTAAAGCACACACACGTCTCCAAATTATTTGTCTTAAATTATCTCATGGTTTATGACTTTATGAAAATTTGGAAGCCTATTTCTGCCACCAAAACACACACACATACACAAATTGACACACTGGATGACATAACAAGAATTACCAAACTGGTATAAAAAGTCATATTCATGAATTTGAATATTATTATCATGACTTCCAATGTCATAATCAAAAAAATATATACTCAATATTATCAGATACAAAGGCGATAACATAATTTTCAAAGTCGTATTATAAGAATTTAAAAATCCTTTTTGTGACTTTACAAAGTCAGTTTGAGAGCACAAACAACTGAGTTTTCAGGTTTTAAAATCACATTTGTAAATTTTAATGTCATATTTAGGAAATTAATAAACAATAATAAAATTTAAAAAATCAGAATTGGGACTTTTAAACTCACAAAAATGAGTTTTAAACTTGTACATTTAAAATTCACTGTCAACATAATTTATTGAAGTTGAAAAGTCATAAATCTTAGACTCAAAACCATTGTGAGTACTGTAAAGTTTTAAATCATAAGCCAAGAGTCAAAATTGGGAGTTTTAAAGTCAAGTATGCAATAAAAATATCCTAATTATGACTTTTGAAGCCATAGCTATGGGATACCAAGTCATATTTTTGAGACACAGTCTCAAAAGTCAGGTTTAAAAGATTCTTTGAGGCCTCTACCAGTGGGACATGCACCTCTAAATAGATGCATTCGGGTGGCATCCTAATCAGATGCCCAAACCACCTCAACTGACTCCTTTCGATGCAGAAGAGCAGCAACTCTACTTCGAGCTCCTCCCAGCTGACGAAGCTCCTCACCCTTTATCTCAGGCTGAGTCTGGCCACACTGCAAAGGAAGTTCATTTCAGCCGCTTGTATCGACTTCGTTTTTTCTGTCATGATTCAAACTTTATGACCACAGGTGAAGGTTGGAATGTACACAGACCAGTAAATCGAGTGCTTTGTCTTTTGACTCAGCTCTTACTTCATCACGACTGACCGAAGCAACGGCGTCATTATTCGAACTCGCTGGAGGAATTGCATGTATTCGCTTGCCTGGGAACGCCCCGGGTTTCCCCAGGACGAGCTGGAAATTGTTGCTAGGGATGTCTGCGTTTCTCTCCTGGACTTCTTGCCTCTGCGACCTGACTACAGATAAGCGGTAGAAGATGGAGATTCAATTCAATTCAATTCAATTCAAAAATACGTTTTTAATCCCAGAGGGAAATTGTTTTGTTGTTGTAACTCATTATCCTCATTTCATTAAGAGATGTTATAGATGCTGATGTCTGTAGGCAGGAAGGATCTCTTGTTGTAAAGGTCCATCCCACAGTGGATCCTAAGAAACTGGCTGCAGATGCTGTCCGATCCGTCCACCCAGACTCGGCTGGCCTCTCAGTTCCCCTGGGTTGTAGTACCGCCCGAATGCTGGGCAGAACTCCTCCCAGAGTGATGGCCACTCCTCCCAGCAGCCTGCCAAGCTCCTCGTCGTTGTGGACAGCCAACTGTAGGTGCCGAGGGACGATCCTGTCCTTCCGCTGTCCTGAGCCGTGCTTCCTGCTAGTTCCAGGATCTCAGTGGTCAGGCACTCGAGCACAGCTGGCAGGTAGATGAGAATGCGTCCACAGAACATCCTTTTCAACTCATTTGGGATTTGGGGCTGTAGTTGAGATATTATTTGAGCTTTTGAGATGTTAATCCGCTGCTATTTGTCGAAAACTGCCTTGTTGCCATGGTTACGCATCATAACAAATGTTCACAACAGGAAAAAGGTTCAGTAAAAATCCTTCCAGCTGCACAGCATCTGATACCAGAGGAAACAATCGTCCAAAAAATGTGATTTACATCCAGAAAAAGAGGAATTAAAGTTTCCAAAAGCAAAATCTCGGAATGAAAGTAAGAGAGCTGCTCCAACATGCAGCCACCTTGAGCGGCGCAATTCTAGAACCTAAAGCTGAAAGATGGAGATACATAAGAGATTCAAAGCCATTATTATGAGTTTATGTCATAAATCTTGGATGCAAAGTTAAAATTGTGCTAGTTTAAGTCAGAAATGAAGTACATTTTTATGACTTGCAAAGTGACACACAATCATTTTTGAGTTTAAAGTCAGAACTATTAGTCAAAATTGTGAGTTTTTAGGTCATAATTCTAACATACAAAATCATTATGAGAAACAATTCTTAAAGTCATGATCCCCCCCCACGAGTGGTTAAAATGGAAATGAGCTTTCACACCAAAAATAATCAACTCTGCTGAGATTTACCGTGGCCTTCTGAGCTCTTATTTTGACAGCACCAACAGGAAGTTGTGTCTGTGTGTTTCCTGTAGCGGACCAGCAGTTCGTCACACACAGGTCGGACACCCTGCGGGCTGAGGTAGGATTGTTCAAACTACCTGTCGGAGCCGAGAACAGTAGGGAATGTGTGGAAAAGAAGCGCGCTTCGCTCGAAACCGAAACGTTGGTTTTCACTTTCTTCAAAGACATTAATGTCAGAGGAAGGCGGCGGGGCTGTTTTCTTCTTCTTGGATAAATAATTAACCGCTAACTCCAGCGCGTGCAGGCTACAGAACAAAACAAAACAAGAACAGCCAAGCTAAGTCAGTGAGCTGAGGCGAGCAGGAGAGCGTGACCAGAGAGGCAAAAACACCCACTGGTGTTTTAAATTATTATTTGTTGGCTTTTATTTTCATTTGAAACACTTTGATGTCATTTGAAGCGCTTCGCTGTCATCATGCTGGGAGCGGAGAGCAGACTGGAGAGCCGGCTGGAGAGGCTGAAGTCCATAATGAAGAATCCCCAGTCGGAACTTAACATGGCAACCCTGCTGGTAAGTGTGCACGACGGCCCCCCCAGGTGGGCTCTACCAGACACAGGTGAGATCAGAGCTGTAGGCGTCATCATTCTGTCATGAGCAGATCACCTGAAAAGACCCACCTGACACAACACCTGAGGTAAACAAACATGGAAAAGTACATTCTAGATGCTCGTTCTTCGACTTCTAGTTGTTTTGTAGTGATGGATCATTACAGTAAAGGTGTAAAGTTGGATGATATGTTTTTCATTGCTTCAGTTTTTAATCAGAAGTGTACCAGAAGGAAACTAGGCCCCACCTAAGCTCAATGTTCAGCTACTTTTCCTGCTTGGAAATGTCCCATCTTTATAGCTGTAGTACAACTAAAAATGTTTCATAATCAAAAACAAGATTAATATTGATCGCTGAGACTGATCTCTAACACATATTCTGAGCACTAACAGATTGCCTTGTTTAAAAAAATAGCCTTTTAAGTAATAGGAGTCCACTCTGTCTGTTAGCAAAATATCTCATGGTCTGCTGGATAGTTTAGATGGATATCTACAAGTGATAATCTTTTAGATTCAATCAAGATGTCCATCAGAGCTAATTCACATCCAGGACTGAGATGTCTATCAATATCAGTCAGTTTTACAAATATTGAGCTAAAATATGATACTGTAGCTGAGTCATTCACAGCGCATACTCTGACCGTGACATCGCACAGTGTCACGAGGTCGTGCAAGATGTCATTTTTAAGATTTAACCAAAAGGCGGTCGGTGACATGCTTTCCATTGGTGTGGCTTCAGTTACCTGCTTTGCTTAATATAAGGAGATCGTTTAAATATGTATTTTTAAGCACAACTGCAATCATGCTTTTGGTAAAATTGTTAACTATCCTTGTAGTTACCGGTATTCAGTAGCTCTATGGATGTTTGGTATTAATAGATTTTGACCTGTTTTTAATTGGGGAAAACTGAAAGTCTATCACAACCTTTTGTGTCATCTCTAAAAACTGAAACCAGGTGGATAAATGAAGTAATATTTCATACGTTCTGTTAATACGTGGGTAAGAAAATCAGATCTATTCTCAGTACCCATGACTCACAGGTCAAGTAAAGCCACTGTTAGATCATCTCGCACATAAACAGACATCAAAAGTTCTGTGGATATAATTATGTCTGTATCGAGCATCCTTCCATGTGTCAGCGGTCATCATGTTTGGTTTTATTCAGCCACGTCTGGATTTTGAAGCAGCTCTGTAGTCGATGTAACAATGACCACTGGGCTTCCTAACGCAGGGAGCTTCCACACAGGAAGTTGAAGTAACTTCCTGGAATTGAGATTTAGTTAACCTGTCGTGAACTCATGCCACTATTTCCTGTTTGTCCACAAGGGTTTTTGTTTTAAGGATGATAAATAGATTTAAAATTGTTATTTTTTTAGGGAGAAAATCCTTTTGAGATTAAAGTTATTTGTTCAGTTATCAGTGCTTTTAAAGGGTACATGGTAATACTAATTAATGGTTTATAATTTTTTTTTCCTGTCAGGAATTAATTTTGATAGATTATTTATCCACTGTCAAATTCAAATAAATGTACTTTTTGTAAATGTACTGTGTAGATTTTCAGTAATCTGTTTCACGGTTAATCTAAAAGCTGCCATAACAAAACAGGAAAACTATTAAGTGGCTGAATGTTGGGCTGCAGTCATAAGCTGACACATTTATTGGTTTATTTAATATTTAACCCAAAAAAAATAAAAGCTCATCAAAAATCTATAGTGATAAAACACAAAAATATATGTTATACTTTTCATATTTTTAATATATAAACATAAAATAGTCTTTAAAGTCAAGTTAGTATTAACTTTATTAGTAAAATAAAAAAGTAAAAATGCAGTAATTGAATTAGTTAATTGTATTAGATTAAACAGTACATTTTGGTCTAAAACAGCACACTGGGTTAAAATAATATTTTAATAGTATCGGTGTACATATATAATTATAATGCACTGTTTGTGTTGAAAACATATAAAGCAACGGTTAAAATCTTTTAACGTAGGTGATGAGCTAATGGTCCGTTTAAACAGGTCCAGGACAAAAAGATCTTGGTTCATCTTAAAACAATGTGTGGATGGTGACAAGTTGGATAATGAGGATACTTTTAAAAGGTGCTGCAGTGGTTAGAGCTGTTGTCTCACAGCCAGAAGGTTGCAGATTCGAAACACGACTGGAGCATTTTTATGTGGAGTTTGCATGTTCTCCTTGTGTATGTGTGGGCTTTCCCCGGGTACTTCAGCCTCCCACAGACCAAAACATGCTTGTTAGGTTAATTGGTAACTCAAAGTTAACAATAGGTGTGATTGAGAGTGTGAATGATGGTCTATCTTTTGTGGACATTTGTTGGACTGGTGACCTGTCCAGGGTATACCCTCCCCCCTTGTCCATTGATAAATGGAGGTAGACCACCCTACTCAGAAAAGTAGATAAAAGAAACATGGATGAATGATGCATTTAAGTAAGTTCTGATAGAGTTAATCAGTGCCTTCAGGTCTTTTATTTTTTTTTAATGAATAGTTGAAAAATGCAAGAGTCCTCTTACATGAAATTGCTTAAACACCCAGATCAAGCCACTGGTGTTGTTCCTTGATGATATCGGATCACGGTGCATTAGGAGAAGGAGGAAGTGTCTAATGCTGTAAGGAAACACAACAAAGTCAACGCTACCGAATCATGTTCAGATTTGTCCAAATTCCAGAGAACATTACACAAGTTGGATCTAATTGTTTGCAGCTCAGACTGGCAAGAGACTTAAATCTTTCTCAATACAAGATAACAGACTCATTATAATTAACTATTTAACTATAATTAAACTGCATAAGAGAACTCTACTTTTTTGAGCAGTTATACTAGATAGAGTTGCAAACTCAAAAGGCCCCTTTTAGTTAATGAAGATTTGTGTCATTAAAATAACCATCTAAATGATAGACAACATTTTTGTTTAACAAAAAGCATGCAATTTAAAAAAAATCTAAATACAGTAGATACTTTGGTGATCAAGTTGCCAAAGGTGGCACATGAAACAAGAGATGTAATCTTCTGCTTCCTTTTTATTGCAATGGTGTTCGAAGGAGTGCATCATTCTTACCAACTCATAAATCAACTTTTAATCATTCTATTCATAGTTATGATTAGTACAAAATATGTCCATTTTTCAAGTCCCACTGTGCTCTGGTGAATTGGACTCACCGTATTTTAAGTTTAACGTTTTCTTTCCAAACAGCCAGAAACTGGTTGGTTTTGGCCAGACTAACCTACTTTCTTTTGATGGTTGTAGGTATTCCTGAGATATAAATGTTAAAGTATGATACCAAAAGCTTCAGTTTTCTGATGTTGTGGAAACTTATTACACAAAAGGATATCTTTATCAGCTGCTTACTTACAATTTATAACAATATATCCATCCATCCATTATCTTATACCCACGTCTTCCTTTTTGTGTCGTGGGGATCACTGGTGCTCATGTCCAGCCGTCACTGTGCGAAAGGTGGAGGACACCCTGAACATGTCTCCAGTCCATCACAGGGCCACATAGAGACAAATGAGACAAACAACCATTCACTCTCTCACTCACACCTAGGGACAATTTAGAGTTACCATTCAGCCTAACATGCATGTTTTTGGTCTGTGGAAGGAAACCGGAGTACCTGGAGAAAACCCACGCATGCACGGAGAGAACATGCAAACTCCACCCAGAAAGGCCCCCAGACCAGACTGGGATTTGAACCAGGGTAACCTGCTGACAGGCAGCAGCTCTACCAGTTGCGCCACTGTGCTGCATAATATATTTTATAGCATATGGTTTTGTGAGTTACATTTGTCCCTAAATTGTCCGTAGGTGTGAGTGACAGAGTGAATGGTTGTTTGTCTCATTTGTCTCTGTGTAACCCTGTGATGGACTGGAGACCTGTCCAAGGTATATCCCGTCTCTCGCACAATGATGGCTGGACATGGGCACCAATGATCCCCGTGACCCAAAAAGGAAGAAGCGGGTAAAGATAATGGTTGGATGGATGGTCTTGTGCTTTGCAGTTTGCTTTGCAGAGGACTCTACATGTTGTTTATGAAATGTAAGACATGAACATGAAGTCAATGCGGACTTATGACTGCTGTCATATTTACTTTTTAACAGGCCTTGTCCATATGAAACAGTTTTTTCAAGATGTTTTTATTTGTCAAACATGGCACTTTTCTAGAAATATCTTCGTCCACACGTAAATACCAAAAATGATCCAAAATGATGTAGCAACCATGCCAAACCTTATTGCAGCACTGTAACACTTGCACAAAAATACACCAAAAACAGGAAACAAGGTGTGAAGCATGCACATGAAGCTTGCACACTGGGTGCAAAATGTAAACCCAAAAAGGATAAGCACCCTTGGGTCATAGGTTTAATTAAAGGTGGGACTACTATAGAATCCTTGTTTTTAAAGTAAACATGTTGTCATCATTGTATGTTCCCATACAAAGATGAAATTGGCTCTCTGCATTTAAACCATCGCACCTGGGATACACCCAGTTGGAGCGGTGGGCAGCTAAGCATCCGGGGAGCAATTTGGGATTGGGTGTCCTGCTCAAAGACACCACAAGATGAGCAATGACCAGGGATCGAGCCCAGGACCTTCGGGTCCCGAGTCAGCTGCCCTGCCCCTACACCATCTCAACCCCCTTAAAAGTCTCAGTTTTGTTTGTCGACATGAAAATGCAAAGGTTCATTGAAAGATGTTTTCACTCTGGAACCCATTTTCAAAAAATAAGTGTGGATGCAAGGCTGAAACAATATGCATTTACAAAAAACATTCACGTGAGATCGGCCTCTAAGTAGGTGGTGAAGTAGCTGATTTAATCTAACAAGGCTGATTCAGGCCCTCTAGACGCCTTTTTCTTTCTTGAAACATTTCATCTTTTATCCAAAGACGAAACGTTTCAACAACCTTGTTAGATCTAGTTTGAGATTTAAACTCAAGGTTGAGCTTTAACCTTTCAACCTTATTAGATTTACTTTTGATTATAGAGCTTACATCAGGAGAATAGTTGATTTAATGTTTCAGTGTGTCTCCGCTGCCCATGCAACACTCTGCTGTTCCTCATCGGTTTTTGAAAGGCATCATATGGATCTGCCTGATTCTCATTGATGTACAGAAATTTAAGAAAGTATGTATTGGATTAACTAACTCAACCTTTTAGAAACCATTAGAACCACCTATTTGCCTAAATCAATTGGGCAGTCCACAAGAGACCTCCAGGGATATTCCCTGGTTTTGGCACTGACGCAGGAACATTTGGGTACATTACAAGCTGCTTTCACTCTGGAGTGGTCTCCATCTGCTGCTGAGCTTTCAGATTGGGATCTGGGGAAGTTGAGGGACCAGATCAGTGCCTCAGGCTCCTCGCCATGCTCATGGAAACAATCATGGGTGGCTTGTGCAGTCTGGTGGGGTCTAGTAGTATTTTGCTGGGGAAGAACATCGCTGTTGGTGGAAACCATTACTATAAAATGCTTGTATTTTAAGAATCTCAAAGTGGGTGGTTTTTATCAAAATATCTTGACTTAAAGGAATGTTTAAACCCCAAAGTTTCTCTGCAAAGCATCATTTTAGATTAAGAATGATTCACTAAATTATGTATTCCTGATCACAGCAGATTCCATATGCTTCCTCTATTACTAAAATTAGATCATATTTACATGTTTTTGCATTTATTAGACTTTTAAAACACTTCTCTCTACCCTGCGGTAGAACAGTAATAAGAGTGCACAAATACGCACTGTGTAAAATGATCACAGATCTTTGAGCTTTCAAAGCCCTAAGCTGTTTGTCCCACAATAGCTTCTGAGTCCTTTAGGTCTATTTCCACCTGCCTGCAATGAGATAGGGGGACGGATGTCTTTCCTCACTGCTGCTATTTAAAGGGGCAGAATTGCTCCACATGCTGTGCACCCACGCATATGTCCCCGAACAAACAAGCCGATAGAAACCCCCCCACCACCACCACCACCATAGATCAGCTTCCACAGACACACACTTACATGGTGGGTGACTCAACTTGACCTCTGAGTTTGGGCAAACAAAGGGTCACTACATGGTAAACTCCCTCCCACCTGCTGCACTGCCCTTCTAGCTGCTCCCTTAGGATCACAGGGACATTTTGAACCTACATGAAACCCAACACACCCCTGATTTAAATGCTGATGACACAACTGTGATGTCAGTTGCTGCCACTGCCCCTCTGTTGAGCCACAGGTCCCGATTCAAAAGGACCTGTTGGATGGTCAATGGGGTAGTTAGCTGTAACGATTCATGTTGCATTTTCAAGAATTTGGAGTACAAAATTGTTTTTTCTAACTTTCAATGCTTTTTTATTCAATTTGTTTAGTTAGCTTCTATCAACTAACTGAAGGTCATGGTTGTCCAGCCTGTGAAATTTGCCCTAAACAGATAATTATGAACATAAAATCACAAGATTAAAAAATCCATCCATTCATTTTCTTCTGCTTAGCTGTAGTGGGGTCACAGATGTAATCATTCCAGGAGGGAAACCCAGACATCCCTCTTCCCAGTGGCACTCGGGCTTCTCCTGGGGCATCAAGACATTCCCAGCACAGAGAACATATATAATCCCTTCATTGAGTTCTGGTCTGCCTTGGTGAAGACCCAGACCTAGAAACATTTCAGCATTAAAACATGACTTTAATTTTTTTATACTTCAGTGCATCAGTACAAACCAAAACTAAACCTAATGAGGTTTTGCATTGGTAAACAAATTAAATGGATTATTATTTTCTGACACATTTCTTGTCCGAGTTTTAGGCTAAGATCATATTGTGTTGATGGAGGTATAGCTGGACTTGTCAAAACTCGAAAGTAACGTTATGTGAAATGTCTTGCAATTTTTCAAGGCGTCACGTGATGTGCTGGCACTCAGTGTGTTGGGGAATGACTCTCAGCTACTACCACACCGGCTCCATATTTGTAAAACTGACTACATTGCAGAGAACCTTTATATTTGCCTCAATTGATTAGCTGGCAGATGTAATCAATGGGAGATGTACATCCACTTTCTGAATGTTGCTACAATTCTACCAGTGATTCATGAGATGTTTTGCTAACAAACAGACTAATGACAAAGTTTTAAACACAACGTGTGTAATGTGTTAGCACTCAGAGTATGTGTTGGGAATGACTCGGCTACTACCACACAAAACTTTAGCACAGTATTTTTTAAAACAGACTGATTTAGAGTATTTTGGGTTGTACTAAGATCAAGTAGCTGTGGCAGCCATCTTGAATTGGATTGGCTCCAAATGTTAGCTTATAGCTTTGCATCCACATTTTATTTACTTACAGTTTCATTAAAAATGTATTCAATGGTTCATATGTTTTGGTAACATACAGAAACACAAACTTATGCACACACAATGCACAGATTGGAGCCCAATCATTATCAACTGCCTTTCAGTGGAGAGGATACTGTATGTGTTTTCTTCTTTTTAAACTACTCTCTTGAAAAACAGATGTTAATTAGGATGAATATCATCTTTCTTCTTGACAAACAGTAAAATGTTCTGTTTTTTTGATTGTTTTTTATTTTTATTTTTTATTTTTGGTCTTTTCAGGATTCCATCAATGCCTTGACTCATGATCTGAACTATCCTGTCCTGAGAAAAAACAAAAACATTGAGGCTTTTGTGAACAGATGTAAGTGCTTCATTTTGTTTGGTGGAACTTTTCAACATTCGGTCATGGTTTAAAATAGAAATTGGGGAAAGAAAAAAATGCAGGCAGTTTTGTAATTTTTAATATTTTCTATTTAAATTGGCAATGACTTGATACCACCAAAAAAAAAAAATACAGTCACGATGTGGTATCTCGTATAGG